TTCTTTTTCAACATTTTGTAGTATTAATTAATGACTTGATAAAAAAGATACTTTAGGTGCACAAAGGTAATGTAAAATTTTACGGGAATTATCTTAATAATAGTTGTTGCACTAGCACGAACAACTTCATCACCAGTCTAAACTTGATCTGTTCCATATTTCGTCCGCAAGGCTTATTAGTTTGTAATCATATTCAATCGTTGTGGAAGTGTATAGCGCAAGTGTATAAATTGCGTTCAAGTAATAAAGTAGACTTTTCGAATCCGATTTGTCGATCACTCAAGGAATGTTTACTCTCAATTACACAACTTTAATTAATTTAATTCTAACAATAAAAAGAAATATACAATTAAAATTATTATTTGAAATAAGGAAAATTAACTAAAAATCTACAAAATAGGAAAATATAAACCCTTGGAAATTTTGGAGAAAAATGTGGTTGGAATTTATGGTTTGCTTAATCGTCACCTAATTAAATTATCCACGAGCCAATTAACAAATTACTCAATTTACGATGTTAGTCCCGATTTTCCAATTTTAGTTAGTTATCTCCCTTGAGCAAAATTAACCATAATTAATTGGTTTAACCTATTATATTTCTATATCGATTAAAACCAAATAATCGTATTAAATCTGTATGAAAATAGCTTATTAGGTCACTTAGGATTAGAGGTACATCTATATTCCTTAAACAAATCCTGAATTGATACTATTAGTTTAAAATGTACAGTATTCTCTCGAACAATGTACAAATCACTAAATATAATCATTTATTGACCACATAAATGAAAATCCAACAAGTATAATAGTAGATACACATGGAAGTAAGCATTTTAATATTAAATAACAAACATTGAAATTAATTAAAGCAAGATTAAACTTGAACCATAAATCCTAACTCAATTAATTAGCTCATGTTAAACAATTCATAAAAAGGAGAATATTTATAGCGATACATTACAAGTTTGACAAAAATAATGGAGAAAAACACAAGATTATAGATAAAACTCTTTTTTGAAACTTGGTCTTGACTTTCCCCAAATATTTCTCCCACCTTCCTTAATGTATTCTCCTTGTACTCTTGATTTTATCCCCAAAATACCAAGAAAAATGAAAGAGAAAATGAAGAAAAGAAGATGAAAGGTAAAAGAAAGAAAAGAAAAAAAGGGGAAAAATTGCAACAATGATTCCAAACCTTTGAATTTTTTTACAAACTTTTCCTTCACCTTCAATTTGTAACACTAATGATACCAAACCTTTGAAATATTAGTACCTAGGGTCTAAATGGATGGATTCCATGCATTTGACCATTAGTTGACCAAAAAATGTGTTTTGATTGATTCTAAATAGCGTAAAATGGTAAATTTGTAGTTATTCAACATAAAACATTTAAAACAAATTAAAAACAAAAAAGGTAAATGAAAAAGGAACTGTTCATCTTCTCAAATGTATCCCACCTTACCCAACCTACTAAATCAAAACCAAATCATGGAGCAATTTCGCGAAACTGAAGCATGGAGCAAATGAGGAAAACGATGACAACCTTTTTTAAAGGACGATTTTCTAATGTATTGTCTTTATTTGAAATGGATATTGATATAGCAAAAAACTATCCAACTCGAGGACCGCATTCTCGAGGTTGAATACTGGCCATTTCATAGGAAGTTTACTTGACCTCCTAGGGTATGTGTCCTCTGGCTTGTGTCCTTAAACTTTTTGGGGTAAACCAAATAGGCCTCGTAATCCTATGTCTTCGGATATGAAAATCCTCCCTCGGTTCTAGGTCTCATTGGGTATATGTTTTGACCTTGTTTCCAACAAACCTAACCCATTAGGACTCTTCTATATGGTAAGGCATATCCAACTTCGATGAAGTTTAGTCAAACCATATCTCCTTTATCATATCATGATGGGACTCAACCATTAGAGTTCCCTCTCCATTCAAACACCAATTGTTTAATATCTATCAAATTGCAATTTCCGGATATGGTAAGACCTCTAAATATCCTATAACTCCTTAAATTGGATAAAGGTGTTCAATTAGTTCAATCTTACTAGGCGTGTACTATCTACCTTTATAAATACAAAGCATTATTCAGGTAGCTTTTACATCTAATCCTACGAGGTCATACCTGTCATTGCATTTTTTTAGGTACAGGAGATTTCGTTCGTGTGATTCTTTTGTTCTCAAGCTCGAGAATCAATGACGCAAAATTTTGGTAGCATCATTGGCACTATCTGTGGGAATCGTTGCCAAAAGCCATGGTTAATACAGGTTTTGGCCTTTCTCCAGCAAGCTCATCCGTTCCAAATTATCCTCATGCTGAAGATCTTCTAGCTCCTTAAGAAGAATAAGCAAGAATAATAATATCCCAACTAGCAGTTGTTACCATTAGAGCTTTCAAGGAGCTCCACCAACAAGTTATCAAGCTAACTCAGTTGCTAAGTCAAAGCAATTCGCATCCGAAACTACCACTGTCATTGGCACCATCGGAGGTTTTACGACCGTTGCTTGAGCTCAGGTCTATGCCTTGCCCATGATATTGGTAGAACCGAAAACTCGGGATCAGCGGTTCCATCATACTCCTTTATGTGAGGTATTTGAATCTGTTAGGTAAGGGTTAGGACTGTATATCAGATCAGAGTTCCCCCTTCATTCAAACACCAATTGCTTAATATCTATCAAATTGCAATTTCCAAACACGGTAAGACTTCCAAACATC